TCAGTGCCTCCAACCCAATCTCACTCCCAGTGTCCTGGACATCCTATGCAGCCCTCAACCATGGCTCCACTTTGGTGGCTGGTGAATCCCCTTGTGTGACCTTCAACTCTAGCTAGAAATCTATTTCTTGATCATTTGATTAATTCTTGAGAGACTCATCAACTGCTCTGAAAAGTCACTGAGGATCCTTATGAGGAACCTGAGATGCTGCAGGAACGGAAAAGGATGTCAGTTCAAACCTGATGTACTGGAAAGCTTCAAGGTTTCAAGGCTGGGCCAGTGGACCAGCCCTCCTGGTTCCTGCTCTCAGGGTCCCACTGGAAGGGGAGAAACATGTCATAGAAGGGGATTTCATTCACCAAGGTGGAGCCACAGCTGAGGGTGGTATAGGATGCCCAGGACACTCAGAGTGGGATTGGGTTGGAGGCACTGAGGAAGGAGTCTTTTGCACACACCCAAGTAGAGTTAAAACAGCTTCACCTAGAAAGATCAGGGCAAGAAAGAAAAAGCAAAATGTGAACAAACATAGGTGATGGAAAAGGAATCTATAAAGAAGTCAAGTTTTTTTTTAAATTTCCAGGTTGGAATTTTATTCACTAAAAATGTTTCATTGTTAAATACAAACACCTTGACACACAAAGTTTGGTGCACATCCATGTAACTCTCCAGGGTAGCAGACAGATCCTTGCCAGGCTTGCAGTCCCCAGTCCCCAGACCCAACTCCTGTGGCAGGATCTGTCCCCTTTGCTGTCTCATCACTAGGGTGCCCTCCTGAATACCAATGCTTTGTGTCACCTGTTTTCAATCCATGGGTCCCCTCTCAATTTCTCTCTCTTTCCTCCTTACAGTGTATTTGCTTGTGCACTTTAGTGTTGCCTTCTGTACTCTTTGTACTAAAATTGAATCAGTTAGTTGTAAACATATTTATTATTATGTCAACAGTAAAATGCTGCAGTAATTAATGATTGCAAAAGCTATTAACTTCATGAAGACAAACAACTTTGAGTAGCTAGATAGCAAGATGGATCATTCCTATGAATATTAGGAGACTGTATTTGCTTGATAATTTTAGGAAGATGTTGGGCAGCATCTAGCTCAGTCCTTATCTTGAGATATGGCTAATCTGCTTGTCCCCAAGTAACCCAATCCTTCTTTGCCCTGCTTAGTTTCTCAGCATACTTTAGATACAACCATTAGAGTAGCCATTGACATTTGGCCACCAGGGATGTGCCTGAGGTCTTTGATGTTAGCTTGAGATAAAAGCAGGTACACTGTGGCTTGGATGAAGTTGCTTTTGTCATGACTGCTAAGTAAGGCCTTCCCTCTGACCCAAGTCATGAGGCCACCTGGTCGTGTTCACACTTGACCACGCTCTGTCCACTTGGTGCCACCCTGGATCTGTCAGTCTCCTTCGATCTTTCAGCCCCTTTCTCCTGAGGCAGTCAGTCACGCCACGCTCTCCCAGAACAGCTCCAGAGTCTTCATTGGTCTGTTTTGCTCCACTGGGGCTTGAACCCCTGACCTTTGCACTGAGTTACATCATCAGTCATCCCCTCATTCTGTTTGTTTTAAATAAAACTTGAGGTAGAATCTCACTAAATTGCTAAGTTGCCCAAGCTGGATTCAAACCTGGGATCCTTCTGCCTCTCCCTCCCAGAGTGCCACATTACAGGCTGAAGCCACTGGGACTGGCTTATACACTGTTTTATACAATTTAAATAATGATAAAAGGCAGAATTACAGATATTCAATTCTAATATAAATCTGATCTTTGTAGAAACTTTATTGCTTAGCGGAGTAGCACTTAATAAAGGAGCAGCATTCCACAGGTGAAATAAAACCTTTCCAAGAGCACTAACTCAGGGACTAGCGGTTTAATTCCATTTAGATTATTTAATTTCCATCTAATTTCCACTCAGGCAAAATTTATATTTGAAAATTTACCATATCTTGGGAGAAATATGTTAGAAGTAAAGTGTCAATTTTTCACCTTCAAATTTCACAAAAAGAGAAAGTTCAATATGAAGTATAACACCCTTACTAGGCATCCTTGAATCAGGCAAAATAAAGATGAAAATTCCAGACACGGTGGCACATGCCTAATCTAGCATTCTGGGAGCCTGATTTGAGAGGATGGAAAGCAGGAGGACAAGGGCAGGCCAAATAGATCAGTGGATTACAGTGCCTGCTTGGCTGGAGATTTGATCCCCGGGCCTGCAATGCCGGCCCCACCCCCGGGGCACGCTGAGATGGCAATTGCGACTGGGCGTGGGGGCGCGCGGCTGTAATCCCAGCTCATGGGAGGCTGTAAACAGGCGGATCACTAAGCAACTAATCTAGTAGTGAGACCCTGAACACTCTGTAGACCCTTCCCTAAAATAAAAAAGAAAGCAGGAGGATGGGCCATTTAGTGACTTAGCAGGCCCATCCCCTGTCTCAAAATAATAATAATAATAATAATAATAATAATAATAATAATAATAATAATAATAATAACAATTTTAAAAGGCTGGGAAAGTAGCACAGTGTGAAGGCTGTAGGTTCCATGCTCAATACTGCCAAATAGAAAAACATAAGCAAGTCACGCCAAATATGTTTTTACTCTTGTTATTCACATTCCAAAACAATAGATTTTAGAAGCAACTCCTCCCAGTGTTGAGTCACTGGAGGCTGAAATTTAAACAAAAACTTGGAGAAACATCACTGTGGACTGCAATCTGTTCTCAGAAGTTGAAGATGAAGGCTTTAGGAAGTTCTTCTTGCAAGGTTCCTTCTTCTGGCGCGAAAGAGAAATGGGTGAAGGCAAACAAATTTTTTTGTTGCGGGAGACCCTCAAGGCACGGACAGAGGTTGGAGCTTTTGTTAGGATTGGGATAGGGGCGGAGCTTACATGGGCGGTGCAGTGACGCAACGGACGCTGATTGGCCGAGGGTTGGTGTGTGAGCGCATCAGAAGAGCAAATCCGGGGTTAACCCGGGGAGAGGGACTGGAGACAGTCCAGGAGCGGCTGGTTGTCTTTGGTTCTGGGATCCCTGTGCCACGGTGATTCGCAGCCAACCTGGTGGCTGCTGCATGGGCACAGACCCGTCCTTTCTGAGCCCCTGGTCCTACATACAGTTTCTTCTAGAAACGAATATCAGAACGTTTTATCTGAATACTGTTCTACAGTGGCCAGGGAAGTTAGGGCTGTCACCCACTGGGCTGGTGGGAGTGTGTTGTCAAGCATGGCGAGAATCCAGGAAAAGGAAGACAGGAACGATCTCGGGCCAACGGTGCTGCAGAGTCAGTATTTGTATCTAGAAAAAACGCTCTTCAAGTTTGGAAACTAACTTTTATGATAATAAAATTGTGGTCGGTGCATATCATGTTCCAGACTTACCTTCCCTCCCAACCTTGATTCTCTCTTTGATGGTGGCAATTGACTTGGACTTCCTTGGTGCCCTGCGCTGGGTCACAGGAGGGCCGGGCTGGTCCCTAGGACTGAGGTCGCTGTTCCCTCCCGCTGCAGAGAAGCTGGGTAGCAGGAGGAAGGTTGGCAGATTTTTCAGGACTGAGGGGAGCAGCGAGTGATACGCCTGGGTCTGCGCAGCCAGGCAAAAGCTAAATTAAGTCTGGGGCTCCTTCCTTTCTTGTGGAAGAGAACACAGAACCCTTCTGCTGCTTTTAGGGCTCTGACTGTCCCCAGCCATCCTTTCCAGACTCCTGGAAGTGGGGACCTGCAGTCCGCCAGACACGGGCCTTGGGTCAGAAAGGACAGCGCTGAGGCTCCACATCATCTCGGTGAAGTTAATCACCAGTCAGGAGGGAGGTTCTGCCCCCAGGAAGGCTTGGGGCAGTTCTGGAGACTGCAAATCATACTCAGACCTTGCTTGGTGTCTGCTGCACGCTCTCTCCACACCAAGAGGGGCTTGTCACCCATTAGAGAGGGCAATGGGCCCAGCGGGGCCTCAGGTGGGCCTGTCCTGGGCAGGACTACCCCACAGGGAAGGGCTCGCAGCAGGAAGCCACCCAAGGGCCACAGAGCCAAGGCCACGGTTTCCTCCTCTTCCTGCTCTTTTCCCTGACCTAGCAGAAAGGGAGGTTGGGAAAGGTAGGACACCAGCATCTTCAGAACTCCATCCTAGTGGCTGCCACATGGCACCCAGGTCTTCCTCTCCGTCACCTCCTAAGCTTTCCCAGTTCCCATGTACAGCCTGTGTCTGGCCACATAGAACCAGAGATAGGAAGGGAGGGGGGCATGGGCTGTGGAGTCTCTGTTTGAAGGAGTCAATTCTTCCTTCTTTCTTTTCTTCTTTTTTTTTTTGGGGGGGGGCAGTACCAGGAATCAAACTCAGAACCTATCTCCCCGGCCCTCCAGTCTTGAGTGTCCAGTCTGTACCAGAGCACACACAGGACAAAGACATGTGAATTATGTGTGTGGGGGGGCATAGACACTGCAGCGCAGCTGTGGGGAGGAGGGGGGCTGAGCCAAACAAGACCCACAGGAAATAAAAGCAATGCCAGCCAGCCTGATGGCAGGTCACCAAGTGACCAGGGCTACTCCATTTGTTTTCTTAAAAATCTCTTTGAGTTTTGTAGACAGTTATCTCCAAGCAGCAGGCAGGGCGTAGAGGCGGGGCCAAGTGACAGGAGAGAAAGTGAACAAAGTCCCACACTAAGCACAGCTAAGAGTGGGAGCCATACCCAGGGCTGTTAGGCTTTAGGACTCACCACTCTGCTATTGGCAGCTATGTCATGCTGCCTGGGGTGGTCAGGGAGGGCTGCCTGGAGGAGGCTGCGTCTGAGTGGAGACTCAAGTACTGCGTAGGAGTTTACAGAGAGCCAGAGCAGGCTAGAGAGAAGGACCAGCATTCTTTATGAAAGAAGGAACAACATTTGCCAAATCGTAAGGCCTGGAATAGAGAAATGGTTGGTGCTCACAGTTCCAAGAAGTGGGGTGAGGCCAGCGCAAGGGCCCGTGGGTAGAAATAGGCTCTGCTTCCTCTTTCTGCTTCTGCTTCCTCAGGACAGTGGCGGAGCCTTAGAGCTGTCTGGAGGCGTCTGAAGGAGTGAGCCTCTCTGGCCACAGAGGTAGGGCCGGGGCTGAGGGTACCCAGAGTGAGGGGCCCAGAGGTGAAAGCCTGGGGCGTGGGGGTTGGGGGTCAGGTTGCTCTGGGGGTCTGCAGAGATCAGGGGTGAGGAGCAAGGGCCGAGGCCCCCTCAGCGCTAGAGGGGTGTCCGGCAGCATTAAGGCCCTGCCCGGGCTCACAGTCCTGAGTTTCAGTGGATTCAGCTGGTGTGGCCAGGCAGGCGTGAGTGCAACCCAAGACTCGGATCTGCCTGGAGACAGAGCAACAGGGGAGGATTTGGTAGTGGATAGGAAGGAGGGGAGTCAAACGGGGTCACCCAGTCTCTGTCCCTCGGCAGCCTCCTACCCTGCCAGCGGCCACAGGGTTTGTACTCGTCCCCACGGTAGTTGTCGCAGTGTTTTGTGTGCACACGTGAGCGTGTGCAGGTAATCATGGCTTGTGTCTTTTGTAGGTTTTAGGAATTTTGAGGGAGGGCAGATTCAGCATCTGTGTCTTCTAACAACATCACCAAGGACAGCAAGGAAGCAAGAAAACCCAGGCCAGCCTATGTGTGCTGGGGCCCAGGGAACAGGCAGGGGCTGTGGCAGGCCAGGAGCGAGGGCAGTGGCGTAGATGGCATCAGGGGTGTGTGGCCAAAGGGATCTGTGTGTCCTGAGGCACCCATAGGCCTCCCCCTGTGGGAGGAGGACCCCAAAGTGTGTGCGAGCTCAGCACCAAATGCTGAGTTCACACCCCGAGAAGAGGGTGCAGCACAGTGTGTAGCAACCTGGGGGCAGGTAAGGGGCCGAGGCCTAGGAGAGCCTTGGTTACCTGTGCCCCATCTGTCCTTTGTCCTGCCTTGTGGAGAGAGGGGCAAAGCCTGCATTGTCCTATATCCAATTTCTCAGGTCCAAGGGAATAATGGTTGCTGCTGAGTGAACAAAGAGCTGGTGACAAAGGACACCAGCTGCCCCCATCTGGCGGCAACAGGAGACTCTAAGGCAAAGAGGACATCCAACTGGCCATAGCCAACACCCACCTGCCACCCACCTGCAGGTGCAGAGCCAACCAGGAGATGGCGCTGCTCTCAGGCCTGCTCCCCCTGGCCCTGCTGGCTCTGGCCAGGGGACCTAGTGTGGAAGGCTTAGCTGGTAAGTCTGAGGTTCCTTCCCCTCCTCATCCCCTGCCTCATTCCTATGTCAGGGACACCCCATGGAACCCTGGAAGCTCCCGGACATCCTGCGGTTCTCCTCCCTCCCTCTGGGCTTGCTCACCTGGCCCCTCCTCTAGGCCCCACACACCCTGCTCACCCTTTCCTGGCCCTAAGAGCCCCCTGAGGCAGGCGCCTGTCTCTGCCTCCCACTTCACTGTGCCAGCCAAGACCCCGACCTCTGGGCGGTCCAGCCTCTTCTCTGTCCCCTCCTGCCCAGCCCCTCTGTTGCCAGGAGGCCTCCGATCCCCATGGCTGCCTTGGCCTGGGGCTCTCCCTGCAGCAGCCTGGTGCCTCTGGCACTTCTGGGTGCTCTTGGGGCTCCTGAGACAGAAGGGCCCTCTCTAGGTCCCCCTAGACCATGGCTTCTGTCACCAGCTCAAGAATGACAGCTTTTTCCATAACCTAGGCTAGGAAGGCAGAAGACAGAGGGTGGTCCTAGGGTGGGCCTGGGTGATACCTCTCCTGCTGGGGGCACTATGGGATATGGGGGTAGGGCTGTACCTGACACATGTCCCCTTCTCAGGACGTGCATGGGTGGGCCCAGTAACACTCTGAGGACCAGCTAGAAGCTGTGTTTCTGTGGGGGGGAAGAGTCCTCGGCCAGGACCACAATGGAGCTGCCCCACCCAGGGCTCTACAGTGACCCAGGCCCCTCCCTAGGGCTGGGCACCCTGACAGTGCATGAGGGGAGGGAGGGAGGGTGACCCCCTGCATCTCCCTGCAGATACTGTCCCGTTGCAGACCCTGCGCTGCTACAATGACTACACTACCCGCATCGTATGCAGCTGGGCGGACACTGCAGCTGCCGGGCAGCTCATCAATGTGACCCTCCATCACCGGCTAAATGGGTGAGTGAGGGGGAACAGTGGGGGACGGTCATGGGCTGCTATGTTCCAGGTGCCTGGCTTAGGGCTATGGGGTCACACGGCATGGCAAGGCCAGAGCCAGGTGGGATTGAACATCATGGGACAGAGGGGCAGGGAGCTGCAGCCAGCCGCTTGTTGGGGTCTGAAGCACCTCATACCCCGGTGGTGAATCCCTATCCTGGCTGCTGTCTGAGGCCCTGTCCCATGGGTCTTGCTGCCCAAGACCATCACTGCCACCAACATCCCCACATCCTTGTTGGTGGATGGTGCCTTCTCCTGGGATCACACCTAGTCACCTTGCAAATGTGCTGGACCCCCTCCAGATGCTGTTGTGGTTTGGGATTTTTACAAGCGGAACCATACAATACAGGGCACATTTTATGAGATAATTTTATAATGAACCACCCAAAGAATCATACACAAGGAATGCAGGAGATCTGTCCACACACTAAAGATCAAAGCTTCCAGCTGAGGGCCTGGATTCCATGGCAATGCCCTGCATGAGTCCAGCTGAAGACCTAGAGCCCCTAACAATGCCTCCCACGAGTCCAGCTGGAGGCCTAGCACCCACGACAGCTCTCATGCAGGCCTGCCTCACGGCTCTGTGCTGGAAAGGCTCAAAGTCAGTGGTGGAAGCTAGAAAGTCTGTGCCAGTGGGATGGAGGATCTGTGCCAGCAGGCTGAGGGATGTGCACTAGAGCCAGGAAGCAACACTCACGGTAAGCACCAGTGCTTCCCTCAAAAGTACCATAGCCATCCTCAGCGACAGTGAGGTCCTGAGCTCCTCTGAGGGAGTTCCCATCAGGAAAGCAGCACAGCAAGCTTCTCCAGGAGACCGAGCTGCGCACCATCTTCCATGTGGAGCCATGAAGTGATGCTCAAGATGAGGGCCAGAGCTCTCCCAAAATGAACCGGAGTCATTCTCAGTGACCATGAGGTCCCACATACCTCCTCTTACAAGAACAACCACACTCACCAGGAAAGCCAGCATGACGAGTTCCCCCAGCTGAATAACCCAAGAGGACCAACAGCTCCAACAGCTTTTGCAAACAGCTTCCCTAACACATTCCCAATAGCTTCTCTAGTCCTGCCTCTTATACTGCTGGCAGCAATCCTCAGGTGGGCCTCTCATGCCCAGCACCACATGGATACAGGTCAGCTAGGTGTAACAAGTTGACCACCAGCTGGCCATCCATCACAGACGCTAACGGTGGCTGCGGCACCAGGACACCTCCACCTCAGGTTCCCACAGCCTCCCTCTCCAGGCTCCTGCATAGCCGCTTCCCCTGTAGAACTCCCTCCCAGGACCTGCTCTGTGAGCCTTCCCTCCAGGCTTCAGCCACCCCACTTTCCGTTAAGCACCCCTCACCTAGCTCAAAGGCCCATTTCTGGAACTCTGATGCTTGGTCCGTGATCCCAGCCTTGCTGAAATGCCTTCTGCACACAGCCTGCCAGAAGGCCCTCCTGCCTCACCGAGTGACGCTCTCCACCAGTCATCTTTAAGCCTCTACCTCTGCCGGTGGGACACTCCAGGGCTGAGTGTAGGGCTCACAACACTGCCCCTGACTACCCATTCCTGGCACTGCTCTCCTCTTGGGGATACACCCACCCCTATTTCCATTTGCTTTGTCCATGAGATGTTTCCCCTACTGTGTGACTCCTGGTCCCTTCCATCAGGACGCTGGCTCTGTGCAGGGGCACCTGTGTATGCGCGGCGCACTGCCAGCCCCACGAGGCCTGGCACACAGTAGTCACTGATTCAATAGTTAGTGAATGAGTGAATGATTCTTTTTCAGTCTGGGCTAAATCATGAAACCACATCCTCTCTCCACAGGAACCATCCCCAGCCAGTGTCCTGTAACTTCACTAGCGACCTACCCTGGTCACACTGCCCATCTCTTCCCTGTGTGCCACGAAGATGTGTCATTCCCTTCAGTGCGGAGCATAACATCTTCTCCTTCCAGCCAGACTGTCTTCTGAGCGTCCAGCTCACTGCGACGCTGGCCCAGCATGGTGAGAGCTGGCGTCCCTGCCAGGTGTGGGCCCTGTCTAGACAGAGGCCACCAGGGACAGCAGGGCTAGAGCAGCAGGACCTGGCAGTGAGTGTCTGAGGGGTGCGGACATTGTCCTGGACTGTGTTGGGACAGGAAGTGGTGCTCTGTGACAGTGGTGGCCAGGAAGGTGACAGGTATGGGATGTTTAAACCCTGGCCATAGAATCGGATCGGGCCCCACCCTGGAGACATGCAGATACCAAGACAGTGCAGGGGAGAGCAGTGGGCCCCTGGCAGGTGGCCAGGGAAGAAGGCAGGGACAACACAGAGACAGGGAACATGGCATCCTGTCTGCAGAAGCATTTGTTTAGCCTGGAAGTCAGGTCCAGTCAATAGAACCACAGCAATGAGTGAGGGAGGACAAAGATGGCACCTGATCTATCTGGGGCACCTGCATCTTGGACCTTTCACATTATCCATCGCTCTCTCCATCTTGAAATGAACCAGTATAATAAAGTGGTGAAGGTGGAGGAGAAGGGTGGAACTGGCCCCAGGGCTACCCAGTTGGCAGCAGCTTCCTGGAGCTCTGTGCCGAGACAGATGCCCACTCTGTCAGTCTTCGATCAATTAGTGATGCCTGTCCTGGCTGGGTGGGCAGGGGTGGTGGCTTGTTGTGCATCTGCACTCGCGTGGGGCTCTAGCTGGGACCTGCTCTAGCCCATTGAGTCCCATGAGCAGCACAGAGCGTTCACATCCTACTGGCTCAATGTTTCAGATGTGAAATTCAGGCCCAGAAACATGACAGAGAAACTCCCGGAGCCTGAAGCCATGGCTCTCAGGAACTCAGCTTCTTCGTGAGCACAGGAGGTTCCAGCAGGGTGGGACTGAGTGGTGGAAAGAGTGATTGCTGAGAGCCCAAAGACTGCACCTGTGTGTGTGCTTGTTCATTAATTAATTAATTAATTAATTCATCCATCCTTTCATCCCATCCCAATTCACCAAGCTGCTGCATATCAGGCTTAGAGACAGGAGAGAAAGTAAACAAAACAAAACAAAACAAAACAATCTTTCTTCCCCAAGCTCCTCCTTTGGGAAGGGAGGCAACATGGAAATCACAAGCCTTAACAGGTTCAGGGGAACATGGGTCGGGTCAGCTTACAGGAGGGAAGAGAAGAGACAAGGAACCAAGGACCCCAAAAGGTCCTTAGAGGAGGAGACACTTACACTCCTCCATGACAGAGGCTAGGGACCCCTGGCAGGTGGGAGAGGGCACAGCAGGAGAGGGAGGCCTGTGACTGCAGCGCCCTCTGCTGGGCAGGAGGTCGCACTGTGTGCAGGGGAGGCCTCACTGAGAGTTGAGGTCCAGCCCTCCAGCTCTCACATTTCAGCACAAGGTGCTATGGGTGGGGCCTGAGGCAGCACAGGAAGGGTCTTGTTCATGGTCCTCAGCTGATCAGCAGCTCTGGACCTGGGACCCCAAGTGGGCCCCCCGCCCTCCTTGGCCAAGCCAGACAGCCACTCTGTCCCCATGGGCCAGCTTCATGAGCCCTTGGCTTCCTGTCCCTGCAGTGCAGCCGCCTCCGCCCCAGGACGTCCAGATCAATGCCACTGGGGACCACTTCCTGCTGACCTGGAGTGTGCCCCTTGGGGATCCCCAGACATCCTGGCTGTTGCAGAGGGACCTGGAGTTCGAGGTGGCCTACAAGAGGCTTGATGAGTCCTGGGAGGTAGGACCCAGACCAGCTGTGCCCCAGCCCACAGGGACATGTGGCCGGCACCTCCCTCAGTGTCCCCTCTCTCCACAGAATGCCACCAGCCTGCACTCCAGCTCCTCCCAGGTATCCCTAGGGCCCGATCTCCTGCTGTCCGACAGCACCTATATGGCCCGAGTGCGGACCTGGCTGGCCCCGGGCTCAGCCTTCTCAGGGCGGCCCAGCCAGTGGAGCCACGAGGTTGGCTGGAGCTCACAGCCAGGTAAGGGGTCCGGGTGGCACCTGCGTCCCCAGCATGTCAGTTCCTTAGAGGACTGTGCAGTTTTAGTCGGGCTCCACACTCATGGCTTTCCAAGCCTGGGGGCTACTGCATGAGTCTGGGCCAGCCATGGGGAACTCTGTCCCATCAGACTCTGTCCTATGCAGCTCAGTTCCTGCAAAGATCAGTGCTCAGAACCACAAGCATGGCCCGCAGCAGCCACTTCACTGGCCACCATGTGTTATGAGGACTTTAGTCTCTGTCCTATTATCCCAAACCCCATGATCTCCCTGATCACAGAGTGTCCCCAGAGTCATGGTGTGTGGGAGGGAGTGACCGAGAGCTGTCTCCACTGCAGGGGACAATGCCCAGGCCCAGAACCTGCAGTGCGTCTTTGATGGGGCCCACACGCTCAGCTGCTCCTGGGAGGTGAGATCCCAGGTGACCAGCTCGGTGTCCTTTGGCCTCTTCTACAGGCCCAGCCCGGATGCAGAGTGAGTGTCCCTTCTCCGTCCCTCCCCTGCTCTTGGTCTTCCCTATCCCAGGGCCCTGGCAGAAGCCACCACCCAGCTGAGTCCTCAGCCCTCCCTGGTCCTTTCCTGGCCCTGACCTCTGCTGCGTGTGCTCCTCAGGGAGAAGGAATGTCTCCAGGTACAGAAGGAGGTGCACGGCGGCCTGTACACTCTCCACTCCTGCCAGATCCGGGTCTCCAGCCCGGAGCCCCACAGCCAGTATTCCATGACGGTGCGTCCTCGGACTGAAGAGAAACTCATAGAGAGCTCAGAGCACAGTGAGTTTGCCCTGCTTCCCCATGCACTGTCAGGACTACACGGGGTCCTCAGGTCCCCCAGGAGACCCATGTCTCCTTGTGCCCCTGTTTGTCACCATCAAAGAAAGTCAGAGCCTTCATTGAAATGTAACACAACAATTCAAATATTTATCAGGAATTATTTTAAAATTTCATTCTGATACATTTGATTATGTATCAGGCCCACCTCCGAATCTGTCCCATGCCTTCCTTTCCCTGCATGTTTTCATTTGTTTGCAGCACTCCATCCTCTGAGCTCCTCCTCTGTGTCCCTGTCCCCATCCCATGGCTCCTGGCCACTCAACAGAGGATGACATGCTCTACATGACCGCTGCCTGTGCCTTCTCCCCACTGAGCTCCTCTTCCCCTCCGCTCTGTCGCTTGTCCTGGTGACTGAGAGCAGAAGCTGTGGCTCCTCTTTGCCATCGCTTTTTCCTAAACATGATGCCTCATCCCCCAGCGGACTCCGCCACTTCCACCTGTGAAATGTGCTCATTCTGGATTTGTTTCTGCTGTTGCCTTGTCCTGATCTGAGCCTCCCCATGTTCTTGGTCCCAGCTATGCCTCCTCGCTGTTTTCCCTCCTTCCATCCTTGTTCTTCCTTCAGCTTTGTCCTGACCCAGCAGTCCTGGGGACTCTGAGGCCAATTATGCCCTCTTCCTCCCAGGACCTTCCCAGCATGCCTAGCGTGCAGTCACACCCAAGCCCCACAGGGCCCTCCAGGCCCATGGCCCTGTGCAGCCTGGGCATGCTCCTGGCCCAGGGCCTTTGCACCTGCTCTTCTCTTTGCTGGGGACCTTGCCTTTGAACTCTGCCTGACTTTCTCCCTCCTCTCCTTCCGACCTTTGTTCCAGTGCTATACTCTCTGTGAAGGTTTCTCTGAAAATTGTATTTCCCCTCGTCCTGGCTCCAGCCCCTTATGCATCCGAATTTTCCCCAGGAGCAACCACCGCCCACCATACAACATCCTTCTTTAGCAGGCCGACTATACAAGGGGAGAGATTTGCTTTATTATTTGTGCTATTCCTGTGCCCAGAGCAGTGCCTGGCTCGGGGCAGGAGCTCAGAAACCTGTGCAGTGAAGGCACTGACGTGGCCACACGCCATGCCACTGCTTCTTGTCCTCCTGTCTCTCTGTCCCTTCTCTATGGGTTTCCCTAGGAATGGAAGGAGGGGATGGGCAGGTAGAGGAGTGCAGGGAGTAGTTTCCTCTGTCCTGAGGGCTCTGAAGAAAAATTTAAAAAAAAATCACCTAGGCAAAAGCACTCACCATTGTGATCGCAAATGACAGTGAATGTTTAAATTTTAAAAATTTATTACACGGAAAAACGCATGGCCATTACTCCCTCTCGAGACATTCCACCTTGCGTCCCACACACTTCTCCCACCCTTCTCGCCACTTTCGGGAGCAGCTCTGGAAGTCCCCTTTCACGAGTGTCATTCATTTCGCTACTATGGCTATCATGACATCCTGAGGTGATTCGAAATATTCGCCTTTCGTGGTCATTTTGGCTTTGGGGAAGGCGAGAAGTCGCACCGTGCCAGATCCTGTGGATGATGTGGCCTAGGACACGCTGTCACGCTTTCCAAGTCTGCTTTCCGCCGACAGCCCTTGGCAGCGGCATTCATTGTATTTTTTAATCCTGCCTCTAGCTTGAGACCCGTGGAAGGGGACTTCCAGAGTCACTTCACAAAGTGGCAAGAATGTGGGATAAGTGTGTTTGAAGTGAAGAGTATTTTGAGGGGGATTCATGGCCATGTTTTTATTTTTACTGAAATATATTAAAGTATTCACTACGTACTTGGATCACTCTTTGTGTTTTTGTCCCTGCTATGCTTTGGAGCCTGGAAGAGGCAGGGCTTTTTCCTACTGGCCCTGAGTTTGATAGCTTGAGGAGGACAGAGCCCGTCCACTCCCACAATTCATAGGGGCAGCACACACAGAGGTCAGGCAGGCTGGAGCTGGGACCTTTCCTGGACCTCTCTGCTCCAGGCTCTATGGTGGCCTGAGCCTTGGAGGTGCTTGGCACTGCGGGCACAGGCTGGCCAACTGACCACCTCCAGTGCCGGGGGGGGCAGGCCTGGGCTCCTCACTACAGCTGACTGGACAGCGGCGTGCCTCAACCTCAGCCTCAGCCTGCGAAGCGCTGTTCAGGGCAGGGCAAGTGCTGCCTCCAGAGTGTGGGACAAACCACCCCCAGATGAACAGGACTACATGGGGTGGAGGGGACAGCAGAGAGGGCACCTGTGAGCAGCTTGGAAGATGGACTGGTCCACGAGAGGGTGGGGGTCATGATCACCCCTAAAAGTCTTCCTGCCTGCAGTCCAGATGGCAGCTCCAACCCTCAATGTGACCAAGGAGGGAGACAGCTACAGCCTGCACTGGGAAGAAAGTGGTGCAAACAAAATAGCTCCCACGTTCGAGGTCCAGTACCGGGAAGACGTGGCCTCGTGGAAGGTGAGTGTCAGCTCAGTGGCAGGCAGAGCCGAGCAAGGGAACATCTCAGGAGGGCCCCGCACCTAAGGCCAGCCACAGAGGTGGCCGGTCGAGCCTCTGTGCAGACAGCGGGGAGCAGTCAGCACCCATCTCCTGTGATGGGCTGAGGCAACCACAGATGAAGCTGAATTGCAAGGGACAGGCACCCTCTAGGCAGGTTGGGGGGATACCACAGAGATGAAGGTCATTCAAAGTCCCTGAGCCCTGGGGACATTTCCTCCAGAAAGTTTCTCTGCCCCAAAAGTGTAGCCTGCAGATCCTAAGCTCTGCACAGCCCAATGGGAACTTAAGGGGTGGTCTGTGGGGTCACTGAGGCTGGAGGGTGCTCAAGGCCAGGTGAAGAGCTCCTGTCTCAGGTTGTCAGCAGAGATTGGGGTGCACATCATGTCCAGAAACCTGGGAGGCTGAGTACTCTCACCTTGAGGGTGGACAGGGGGCTGTGCTGGGTCTGGGCTTGGCATCCCTTTCTTTGCTGTTAGAGGTGGAACCAACCTCACAGGGGACCTGAGGGAGAGGGGGAGGGGACACTGTTGCATCCCCACCGGTCCAGGCCAGGCCTCAGCCTCAGGCCCTGCAACCACAGGACAGCAAGACTGAGAGCCTAGAGAACTACCACCAGATGTCGCTGCCCCACCTGGAGCCCGCCACCACCTACCTGGCCAGGGTGAGGGTCAGGCCCGGCCCTAAAGGCACCTATAATGGGATCTGGAGTGAGTGGAGCCAAGAGCAGCGCTGGACCACGGGGTGGGGTAGGTCTCCTGGGCAAGAGAAAGGACATGGGAGATGAGGCCACCGAGAGGGGAGGCTGTAGGCACCACCATACCACCTCGCCCGTCGGTCCTGAGGCCCCAGGCAGTGGCTCTGCTCAATGCATACTGCAGAGAGCAGAGCAGTGGGCTGCCCATCTGCTGCCCTTAATCTGGATCATGGGCCCTGTGAATAGGGCTTTAGGTTCCATTAGCTTGAAGGGAGCTGAGACCTAGTAACTGGTCAGCCTGGGCGCCTGGTTCAGTGCAGCAGACATCAGGCATCCAGCTAGCCCTGGATGGGGAGCTAAGGTCTGAGGTCTGAGCCAGGCCACCCTTCTCACTTGTGGACCTCATGTGTCCCTCCACTGTCCCTATAGTGGGCACCTGCACCCACAGGCATTAAGGAAAGCTGGGTGCTACAGAGAGAGGATGGAGGCTCTGCCAGGAGAGCCCTGGAGCCCAGGCAGCAGGGACAGAGGGGCCAGGCAGGGGCCATGGACAGGAGGAGCAGGGCCAGACCTGGGACCAGGGGCATGGATAGGGCTGAAAGGCCAGGCCAAGAACTTCACACAGAAAGGCAGGAACCAGGACTCCTGAAGCCTTGATGGTGCCAGCCCAGTAATCTCCTACCCTGGTTCATGAGTGGCCTCCTGAGGAAGTCCTGACTGTCCTGTGACCCACACTGGAGCCCTGTGGACTCGGCCCAGTCTCTACGCCTGGGTCCCATGGCCTCCCTCTCCAGCCCTTCGCATCCCATGGCTCTAGGCCTGCACACACAGACAGGGGTTTTGGGGACCCCACCTCCACTTCCCCCCACCTTTCCCTCCATCCTAACTGCTCTCTCCCTGCTCTCCCCAGCACTGCCCACCTGGGTGCTGGCACTCCTCCTGGTCATTGCCACCCTGGTGCTGCTCCTGGCCCTGCGCTTCTGCGGCCTCTATGGGTACAGGTGAGGCACTCAGGAGGCCCCAGGACCCCAGGGATGGCACAGCCTGGCTCCCAGCTTCTCTGCTCTGTCCCCACTACTGGGCCTCAGATTCCCCCCTGCACGAGGCACAGCAGCAGCTGGCCTGAGGGTCCTGGTGACTGTCCCCTCCCTGGTGTGTTCCAGGCTGAACAGGAAGTGGAAGGAGAAAATCCCCAACCCCAGCAAGAGCCACCTCTTCCAGGTAAGACCCACTGTGGAGCCGGTGGGGCCTTTGCTCCTGTCCCTGGGTCCCCTGCAGCCTGCTCCCCTGATGGCCCTGAGTATGGTCCGGGTAAAGGGGCCTCCTGGTAGGAGCTGGGGAACCAGGTGGCAGGAAGCAGGTTCCTGGGGTCCTCTGGGCACCTAAGGAGCTCAACCCTGAGCCTGTGCAAGCTGACACTGGGCATGCAGGGACCTGAGCAAAGGCCAGCTGGCCAGCCGCGCCCAGGGTGAGCCAGGAGGGGCTGCGGCTCCCAGGCCTCGGGGTGGTGGGAGGCAGAGCAGCAGCCAGGGCAGCACAGAGCTGAGCCTGAGGATCTGGCTGGAGCCAGGCAGGACAGTGGCTCCAGTGAGGACCCAGATGGGGCAGACGGGCCCTTCATGAGTGGGCACTGAGGAGGGACAGTCAGGAGGCAGGCACTGCAGAGGCCAGGCGACCCTGGTGGGTGCCAGGTATTGACAGCAGCTCCCTGGGACTGGCAGGGCAGCTCGGCCTCCAGGGCTGGTAGTGGGTCCTGACAGGGTGGGGACCAACCCATGTCGGGGCCACTGGATTCCCCTGGCTGTTCTCTCCCGCACCTGTGGCCCACTCACAGGTGTCCTTCTCCTCCAGAATGGAAGCACCGGGCTCCGCCTCCCAGAAAGCATGATGGCCTTCGCTGGCAGGAGTGCCCCTTCCTGGGGTCTCCAGGCCAGCCTCTTCCCTGCATTGGAGGGGTGAGTGTGGGAGCTCAGTCTCCTGTCCCTGGGGACCAGGTGGAGCTGCGCCATGAGCTTATGGGGGGCTGGTGGGAGGGGCGTGGGGGCTCCCTGGGAAGAGGTCCCAGGAGGGGGCTTTGCACTAAAGCAGGTGTCATCCAGGATGGACATAAGGAAGAACTTCCTGACTCCCAGGTTGGGCAGGACGACAGACAGGGGACCTAGCCAGAGGCAGGGGACTGCCCAATGTCCATGCTGCCTCCTTAGGAAGCCCTAGCTCACCAGGGCACCAGGGGCCCATCTTGTGGGAAGCTCTGGCCTCCTGTTCCCTCACTGGAGCTGTGCAGGGCAGCGCCCTGACCTGCTGTCCTGGCAGTCTCCTCACTGCAGAGCCCACAGGCAGGGCTAGGAAAGGATCAGGCCTCCTGCCCCTCTGCCCTCACTGTGCCCGCGCTGGGTGCTCTGCCCAAGGACCCCTGCATCTCCACCTCTGTGCTCCCCACAGGGTGTGTGCTGTAGACTTCAGGGACGCTGAGTTGTCACCTCTCACCACAGAGGACCCCAAAGTTGTCTGTGATCCTCCGTCAGAGCCTCATTCCCCTCCAGCCGCCTCGGACCTCCCCGTGGAGCAGACCCCCAGTGTCCAGCCAGGCCTGCCAGCCCCCCAAAGCCGGCCCGAGGACCAGCTGGCCACCTTTGACTTCAATGGTCCCTACCTGGGGCCACCCCACAGCCGCTCCCTGCCTGACCTCGCAGGCCAGCAGGTGTCAGTGCAGGGCCCCAGGACAACCCTGCCAGGCTCCCTGGAGTACCTGTGTCTGCCCCCTGGGGGACAGGTGCAGCTGGTGCCTCTGGCCCAGGTCACAGGGCAGGGCCAGGCTGCCCCTAGGGAGTTTCTGCCTAGAGCTGGCATCCAGGACAGCCCCTACCTGGACGCTGGGGGAGGCCCTACCCCTCCTGCATCTGAGCCCAGTCACCAGGGACAGGACCCAGGGGACAGCCCAGGCTTTCTGCCCACAAGCTCTGGGGTCCCTGAGCACCCTGTCATGGCCACTGGTTATGTCACCACTGCAGACCTGGTCCTGACCTTGTCCACAGGGGCCTCCTCTGTTTCTCTGGCTCCCCCTCTGGATCTCCAGAACCCCAGCCTCTGCCCAGCCCTGCCTGGTGGGCCCTCTGCAGCCCCAACTATGGGGAAACTGGGGTTTGAGGGTTATGTGGAGCTCCCTCCACCCATGGGACTGTCCCCTAACTCCTCTCTGGGCAGCCCTGTCCCTCCTGCATTGAGTAGCCTGTCCTGAGCCCAGGAGAGCCTCAGACATTGTCCCTTGCTATCCCTAGCCCCTGAGGGGCTGCATGTCCTGCAGCAGTGGTGGATGACTGCCTGCCCTCCAGCCCTGTAACCTGCCAGCTCCCTCCGCAGTTCAAGCTCTCTGTCCCGAGCAGCAAGAGCTCAGACTAGAACACCTGAACCAAGGTGGTGTACTGCTCCTCTTCACTATATTCCCTGCTCCATGAAGAGGCAACAAGCTGGGGAGTACAGCTGCCTCTCTGCCTCAACCAGGGCTCTGGCCCCATCTCCTGCTTCTTCTCTAGAATTTTCTGTGAGTCCAAAGGGGGCCATCATGGACGAACAATTCTCACACTTCACCACCTATCTGTTCCTCAGAGTTGCTAGCCGAGGTTCTGGTTCAGTGGGTCTCCCAGGGTAAAGGTAAAACTGTCTGGACTGTGGTTCCCAGGGATGAGGTGACAGAGAATGCCCTAAGAGTGACATTACTCTGTATAGTGTTATGATAAAAGTGGGTATGTGTCGTTATTTATTTGTTAAAATCCATACATTCTACAACATCAAGAGTGCTCGCTTCTGGTGGCTACAGCTCAGTGGCACAGCACCTGCCTGACAAGCCTGGGGTTGAGTTCAACTCTCAGTATCCCACCTAAAAAGAGTAGTCCCTACTATAACCTGTGGACTGTGTGTGACACTTATGTACAGATGTCA